TTAATTACTCGAAAATCCGATACAGAAACTCCCGGTTTCTATCGATGGTTTCACTTTCTAAATCCTCCATCGCCTGAATGGAAGTCAGAAAGGACAAGGCCACGTAAATCCTTTTGCTCTTTAACGATTCCAAGCAAGCATGTCGACGTAGCATGCAACTTTTTGACATTCGCCATGTAGCTATTTGTATCGGTATTTGAATAACAAATGTTCGCTCGTGGGGGCGTCCCTTTTGTTTCGTCCCTTTCTCTCCCTTCCCTTCCGAAATGTACGCCGTATAAAAGAACAGAGGGCTGAGTTATGGCTGTCGGGCCCCGCGGATAGAGCCTTCAAGGACTACAATCGGAAATTCAGCTGGCTGAAAAACCGGTATAAATGTTAGACCATGACGTAACCGCGATAAAAAAAGCCGTTCTCCGTTGAATGAAACGTTCGCGATACTTTGCTCGAAATCCTGTGGACCATGGGAGCGAAATTTCTCGACTCCTTAAACCGTCAGAGTAATTTAACGAGTTTCCTTGAACGACGATTTATTATGAACGAAACCGCCATCTTTAATCACGGTGATGGAATTATTTTTATTTTATTTATTCGATGAAGGGTTTATGTCGTCGAGTGGATCAAATGTTGCTACAATTTTTATCTCATTCACGTTGGACGACTCACATTTTTGGTTTCTCTTTTCTTTCTTTTCAGATTGGGAACTGTGTGGATCACAATATTTAGGCGAATGTTTGGAAATTAGTGGAGGCGTGCAAAAATCAGAAATTTCGAGATCAGAAATATATGTTGCTAATCGAGAATATGGAGAATGAGGAAGAATTAAGTGTTCGGAATAAATAGCCTCGAAATAAAATTTTAAAAAATTCTACAACCTCAAGAGATTTTCTAAATCCCCTCCCCATTCGTAAATAACATTCTCGGAATTAAATTCTCAAGAACGAGCGAGATTTTTCGAGGACTTCTCGTGCACTTTTAGAGATTAGGTATTAAAGTAACGAACGAAACGAAGGACACGTAGAATTTTATTAAATGACAAAGAAATTACGCGACGCACCCCCATGGTCGAGGAAAATTTTTACCAACAGTTCCGTCTGACTGTGGCTTCTGAACAAGCGAAATGGAAATGTTCCCTTCGAAATATTTCCCTCGCGATACGCGTCCGTGCCGTGAAAAAAAGGAGCGTGCTTTTTGAGCCAATGTACGAGGAATTACAGGGCGCATGAGCCACGATAATGGATGATTAAGAAGGTTAAGAGTAGCGAAATATAAGAGTCGCGACCCTCGCTCGTTTCTAAATGCGTCTGGTATGAGAGGATAAAGTGAATTATGGCTAATGGCATGATGGATACCCGACCGGAAATTCAATAGCCGGAAAACCAACGACGACAATGGAATAACCGTAAACAGTTGGTGCATCGTGCACCTATATTAACCCCCTAGACTACGATAACGAGCCCCGTCGCGAGGTTCTCCGCGCTAAACCCCATAAAGATGAGTTGCACTCGCGTTGAAATAAAATTATATCGAACGTACCCTAACGTGCGTGAAATTGGTATAAATTTGGAAAATTCGTAGAATTTTAATGTCGATAAAACAGGTATGAAGAGACTAACTGAAATTGAATAATTTCAAAATGGTTCCTCGTAATTAAATCAAAGTGCGAGGGGTTAATAACCTGGAACGTGACCTAGGTGAAATATGCAAAAGGAACGCAGGTGTATTAACCCTTTTCGTTCGAGAAGCGCTCTTCAGTCGCTGTTTGATAAAATTTCGAAGCACGATATTCATAAATATGTCAAATTTCAGATAATTTTTGCGCGAGGTATCGAAATTAAATAATTCTACGTGTTAATTATCATACGATTTCTTATATTTATTTCTCAACAAAATATCGTCATCTTTATAACGTCGCCATCTTTATCTCCGAACCCCTACTCTTCCTTAACGAAAAAATGAAAGAAAAATCGTAACAAATGACGAAAGTGACACCATTGAACACGAAATTTTTAATAAAAAATTTCAAAACCAGCCAGGGCCCTGGTAGATTCAGCGTTGAACTCCCATAAACACCTGCAATCCCAAAATTCATGCATCCAACGAACCACTTAACTTTGTAACAGAAAATATTTGATCTCCTATCCTTCTTTGGTCAAAAATTCGTCGAGTGTAAAGGGTTAATTAAAAGGATTAATAATGAATGGCCTAAATGAAAAATATTATTTGCTTTATCTATAAATATATATATATATATTTATCTATTCTAAATTTTCTAGAATTTCGTAAAAATAAATCTCGATATTCATCCTCCTCCTAATAAATCAATTAACGAACTGAAAAGGAAACGGCGAGCATTATCGACGTGGAAGAAATACAGCAATTCATCATTCCCAGAGATAATTCATTAAGGAAACGAGAGCATCTCGCAGCTGAAAACAAAAGCGAATAGAACTGAGAACCAGCAGATGCTATTAATTCGCGATCCAAGCATATCCAACGTAAACCAACGCTTCCAGGGATCTTTGTTACGCAACGCGAGACAGATGTTAACCAGTGAGCGAAATGAAAATATGGAAGGTTAATCGCGAGAATTGTTGCGTATTTAGCGCGTGCCGCTTCATGCTCGTTTCAACAAATTACGTCAAATTGCGAATTTACGTGCCACCATGGGAATCCCCGGCCAAGATTTTCGCGCACCGCGTACGAACCTCGATAAACGTTGCGGTGTAGCCCGAATTATGCAACGATAACAAGGGCTCCCTCGATTGCAATTTAAATTCGACGCGATTAATCGATCAGCCAGCGTAAAATTTGACCAACTGGCGTCGCGACGCTCGCATCGTATTAAAGCGGAAATTCGTAAACGATCGAGCAAAATGAATATCAAATTCGCGTCAATTCGGTGGGGAATCACTATGCTTTTTACACGCTTTCGCTAAACGTTCGGTGAAATTATGAATTTCAACCATGGATATTTCATATTTTATTACTTTTTTATTTTATTTCTAAATTTAAATTGTTTCGAATTATTAGATCAGGTCAGTGACAAATCAAGGTTTAAAAGGAAAGGAGAAATAAGAAATCGAATATTCTCCCATTCTATTCTCGAGTATTGCTCTAGACCGACCTTCCTACATTTCTTTCGGCTTACGGCTCCCTTTTGGTGGACAACGGTGTCCTCTATGGCCTCGTTTCCTCATTTTCTAAATGTTTAAACGCATAGAACATACATACAAATGTTTGCATCGTATATGAAATATTGATGCAAAACTTATACGAATTTCAGACCACCAGATTCCACCATATCCTCGCGTGGCCTCAAAAATTCAACGTCGTGCTCCCATTGGGAGACTCTGTTGTAAAATAACGCGAGAATTTTTAAGAATTCTACGCAGCTATTCATTTTATTTAAAAACAGCTACTCCGAATTGCAAACAACACCTCTCTGACCCGCCACAGAACGCGTCTAACGAAAAAGCTGATTAAAAATCGCTTTTAATCCGAACCACCATAGTACAGGTTCACCTGGAAAGCATTGCTAACCTAACAGCGTGATCCATGACCAAAGTAAAGGAATACTTAACAAACAGCGAGACTCGGAGAAACAAACCTCTCAAATGGAAACACTTGTTCGGCCTCAAACGCGAAACAACGGGAAAC